TCTATTTATCTGTCTGAGCCCTACCCTCACCCACTCCATGCACTAGGGGCCCAGTCTTGAGTGGGCTCCACCCAGGCCCTGTCCCCTGAGGTAAGGGAGCTCTGGAAAGGGGACAGGAAGGGGACCAGACCTCTGCTGTGTGGGAAGGGTAGGCCTGACTTCTCTCCCCTCTCTCCCTCCCCACTCATAACTCTGGCCTTGGTTCCTCCAACAATGCCTGAACAGAAGCTATGAAGGGAAATTCAACCCTAAGTATAAAACAAAGGCAGATTGGGGGTGGGGGCTTGTGGAAAACAGTGCAGCTTCAGACTGAGATGGCCCTTGGAGGGGAGCTCTGGAATAGAGGGGACTAGTCAGTGGAAGGTTGGGTTCCAGACATACTGGATCTGAAGCCTAAAAAGAAAGTGGTACCCTACAGCACTGGAGTGACAATTGGAAAGGGCCTAGGGGCGTGGCTCTAAGAGCGTCCTGGCTTTAAGACTGTGGGCTCCAGAGCCAGTAGGGCTTGGGTTAGAACCAGACTCTCTAGAAAGCATGTGGCTTGAAACATTCTGGAGTCTGAGCTTGATTCCAAAGACTTTGATCAAGGCTAGAAATGGAGCTCAGGAATGGTCTAAGCTTGAGATGAGGTCCTGGTAAGAGTTCCAGAAAGGGATTGCATGGTGGTTTCAGAAGGGGCAGACATTCCCCCAACGATGGAGTGAAGAAACTATGCTTTAAAATGAATGGGATTTGAGCAGCAGGTATGTATGCTTAGGAGCTATAGGATGAATTTTGTTAAGGGCATGAAGGACTACCCCCGGCCCTCATGAACTGGGGTAGCCTGGGAAAAGCTGAGTGATATGGCTTGTGTGAGGGGTGGGATCCAGACAGAAATGCCCCTTGCTCACTCCCTTAAGAGACAGCTAGGTTGAATCAGAGTACAAAGCCAATGGGTCTGTGGGACTGGCCCATCCCTCTTCCCCATTCCCCTACCCCTCCATCCACACTCCTGCCCATCTCAGGGTAGTTGGAGGCCTGGTCTGGAGCCCCCATCCCATACCCTCTGCTGTGTCTGTGATGTTGGTAGTGCCTGTGATTGTGTGTTGCCATTTTGTCTGGCTGTGGCCCCTCCCTCTCCCTTCCAGATCCCCCACTTTCCTGTGCCCTTTGGTATTGTTTGAAGAAACCCCTCCCTGAGGAAAAACAAATATGAGTAACTCTCCTCTCCCAAATAAACTCCTCAACCACCAGTCTACCTGGCTCTGATTTCTCACTGTCTTTTTGGGGGGGTGTTGAATAAAGGGAGAGAGGGTAAGGGGAGAGGAGAGGAGAAGAAACTTGTATATCCACCCACCCCCCAGCATCCTGTTAAAGTTTTGCCTAAGGATGATTCTGAGTCACCCTCTGAGTTAGCTTTGTTCACTGTCACATTACTGACCACCGAATGTCCAGTTTTTTAGGATTTGCTTCTCACCCTTAGCCACAATCCTTCCCCAGCCCCTATGGAGCCCCTCTCCTCAAATCCTCAAGGCCTCCGAGTAGGGAGATTTGACAAGTTGACTTCATCCTACCCAAGTCCTTGTGCTTCCTTCAGATCCTTTTCCTTGCCTTGGCTTCTGCAGGAGACCGACTACCCCAGGAGGTGCAGTTCAACAAGACTCCATAGCTGATTGATGAATTTTCTTTTGCCCCCCTCCCCAGCTCCTCCCTGGACAAGGAGAGGCAGGAAGTGACAGGATTGTGTGTAATAGGGTGGGGGGAGTTCCCAGGTGCCTAAGATGAAAGGTCTGTCTTGGTGCCTAATTAGAGGCTCTTTTCAGGCGCCTCTGCTCCTGCAAGTCCAGCTGCAGAGTTCTGAGTTGTGGCTGTTTGATCCCCTCCCACCCCAGGGGCGGGAGAAGCTCGACAGCAAGAAGAGATCCAACTCTGGAACTGAGCTCAGGGAAGGCGAGATCTGTCTGGCAACAGAAAAATAGGGATGCAGGAAGGAAGGTTCTAAGATCTATTTCGGGCTGGGGTCGGGGGGCACAGTGGCTGGGCCTGTGGATGTGGATGGCCTTGGGAATGTGGCCTCTGAATGTGGTCAGTGATTTTAGTCTCCACCACATAAATCTGAAAAAAGAAAATCTGCCTCTAAGAATGTAACAGGAAGGGTCTAGCTGGGCAGTGAGAGCCACAAAACACCAGCTGGGACTGAGGATGAGTCTGGGACCATTTTTGCAACATTCATGCGGAGGGAGACTCTGGGAAGGGGCCAAGAGGTGACTTTAACCCCTGCCACGCCAAATAAAGCATTCAAAATAAATCAACACAATGCATTAAAACAAACACCCTAGTGTGCCACTCTAGCCAGGTCGCCACCTCTACCATCCCCCTACCCCCACCCGCCTCCAACTTTTGAGTCCTAAAGGCCGAGAGGCACCATGGGATTCTGGAGCCTGAGCCTCCTGACACAGCGCCCTGATCCTGGGATGAACTCCGAGCGTGGGCTTTCCGGCCAGAAACTCCGGGGCTACAGGCCGCTCACCTTTAGACACCGTACTCTTTGGAGACAGACTACAGGCCCGGGGGCGGGCCCTACGAGGCGCGCTCCTCCCACACTGGAGTCAAGTTTACTGGGAACCGAGCTGCCTGGCCGGACGCACCGTGGCCTAGTGGCCCGGAGGATTCCATTCGCCTGACCCGGCCCGGTTTGACCCAGTCTGGGCGTGCCATGTTCGCGCGTGGGTCCCGGAGGCGCCGCTCGGGACGTGCGGTGAGCAGGGCTCAGGGCAGCGGTGGGGAGTCAGGGGTAAACTGAGGCCTGGGCGAGGGGGCAGGGCACCGGGATCTGGAGGAGGCGCCCCCAATGAGGGTCTGGGAATTCCCTTCCCTGGCTTTCCCAGATGTGGGCACACTCACGGACGAAGAAACGTGCAGCTACGGTGGCTCAACTCCCTAACACCTCTCCGCACACATCATCACCGCTGGGGTCTAGGGGCGCTCCCTTTCCTGTGAATTATGCGAGGGTATCCTAAGGGTTAAAAGTAGGCCTTTTCTGGATCCTGGAGTGAGCAGGGACGTCCTCAGCTTCTGAATAAGGGACCTCATATACTGGAGGACTGTAGACTGAGAAATGGGGGTCCAATATTCGTGGGTACCTCAACCTAGAGTCAATGGCGTGAGACAGGATAACAGGGCTTCCAAGGCTTCTGAGTTGGAAGCTTTCGACTTACAAGATAGCAGGGTTTCTCTCTTCCTTTGAAGGGAGTCTCTAAGCAGGAAAGGTAGAATCTGGGCTAAAGAAAGGGCTAGTCCTAGGATATGAGGGTTTTCTTGGGATGGAGGTTTCTGAATGGAACTGGGGCTCCTCAGATGCTGGAGGATGGCCCTCCGTTCCTAAGGTACAAGACCTTACGCCAGGGTTTGGAGGAGGGGCGGCAGAGCCTCAGAGGGAAGGGCTGGTGGGGGATCATGGAGGGAATCCCAGGAAAATGGGTTCTGTGCTCTGTGGAGCTGGAGTGCTGCTGGTGTCCTGGGTGAAGAGGCCAGGATGAGGTGTGAGAGAGAATGCTCAAATTAGGGACTCTGCTCTGGTAGAAAGAGGACTCTTACTGACAAGTGTCTGAGGACCGGAGGGGGGACAAGACCAACTCAAGGAGGGGAATTCCCTGAAAAAGGACGCTACTGGGACGTGGTCTCAGCTGCTCCGCCTCTGGCTGGGATGTTTCCCCCTCCCCCACGCTCCAGGCACGGTCTCAGCCTGCCCAGCATTGCCCTAGTGGGACAGGCCTCAGCGTGCGGTGGTGAGCAAGGGAGTGGTGGAGCGAGCGTTGACTTCTCCTCCCCCTGCTCCCTCACCTCTTCATGCCTGGCGTCTGCCCCCGCCCGCTACAGGCTCCTGAGGCAGAAGACCCCGACCGGGGCCAGCCCTGCAATTCCTGCAGGGAGCAGTGCCCGGGCTTCCTGCTACACGGCTGGAGGTAAGTGACCTTCCCAGAGCCTAGTCCTCGTCAGAGCCCCGCCCAGAGGCCTCTGCCACGCCTCAAGGCTTGAGTCCCCCGCATCCCCGCCCCCCAGCTCAGTTGGGAAAGAGCCTCAAAGTCTATTTCAGGGCCCTGCTCCTGACTCACTCCCAGGAGAGCTCCACAGCCCTGCCCGCCCTCCCCCAAAAGTCTCTGAGTCCCACCTCTAGGGAGATCTTCTGGCCCAGAGCACTGCCCACGGACTCTCCCAGCCCGTCTCAGTCTCAGAACTCTTCTCCCAAGCCTCATCCTGTCCTCTCAATCCTACTGGAGCCTTGCAGCCGAAGTCTCCGAGCCCATAGTCCCACAGGCTCGCAATAGCCCCCACGCACATGTTCAGAACCTCAACACAGGCATCAGGAGTAGTTTCCCCACGGAGTCTCTCCTCAGATGAGGCTCCTAGATTTATAATGCCAGTCTCAGTCCCAGAACCCTGCTCCTCTCAGGCCTGTTGCCCAGTTTGACCCGTGTCCCAGAGCTGGAAGGTTAGAGGATGTCCTTCAGACCCCGAAGCCCCACCCCTTCATATCCTGTGCCCAGGATCACAGCCCAACACCCAGTCCTCTGGTCCCTTGTGTTCCAGGCCTGTCATCCAGAAGCTGAGTGTGGCACAGCCAGCGCCCCAAGGCCTGTTCACAGGCAGTCAGGCTTTGGCTGTTAACCGCACCTCCCTGTTAGGCCTGTCCCCCAGAGACAGAACTCTGTCCCAGCTTCGAGCCCTTTGGTGTTAGTCTGCATGTCCTGCCCTTCAATTGGACCTGGGCCACCTAGATATCTGGGTGGACAACTGCTTAGTAATTTATTCTTATCCTGGCTTCCCCAGAAAGATCTGCCAGCATTGCAAATGCCCGCGGGAGGAGCACGCAGTGCACACTGTGCCTGTGGACCTGGAACGCATCATGTGCCGGCTCATCTCAGACTTCCAGCGCCACTCCATGTCTGATGACGACTCAGGCTGTGCCTCAGAGGAGTATGCCTGGGTGCCTCCTGGCCTTAAGCCTGAGCAGGTGACCAAAAGCTGGCCACCCACTCATATTCTCCAGTGGGTACACATATAAGCAGGCACATAAGCACTCTGATGCAAACCTATTTCTGGAATAATGCTAGAGTGTGGTCTATCAGTGTCTCTCTGTTCTCAGAGCAATCACTAGGCCAGTTCCTCTGAGTCTATTCACCCCATTTCTTTTATCTTTTTTTTAAGGTTTTTTTTTTTTTATTTCTTTGGGTGTGTGTGTCTGTGTGTCTGTCTGTCTGCCCGTGGAGGTCAGAAGAGGGTATCAGATCCCCTGGAACTGGAGTTACAGTTCATTGTGAGCCACCAGAGATGGGTCCAGGGAACCAAACTCTAGTCCTCTAGAAGAGTAGGAAGCTCTCTCTTTTTTTATTTTCATTTATTTGAGAATTTCACACATTGTATTTTGTTCATATTCAGACACCCCTCACCAATCTCCACCTACACCTCACTACACATACCCCCAACTTCATGTCCTCTATTACTGTTTGTCTTTTTAAGACCTATCAAGTCTAATCTGTGTTTCCCACTTGGGTGCTGATCTATCCTTTGGAGTCTGGTCAGCCTACCAAGCATCATAACAGTAAGGAAAACTGACTCTCCCTCTCTCAGCATCCATCAAATGCCAATAGCTCCTCAGCTATGGCTGAGGCTTCCTGCCCACCTCCCCCATCTGTGCTGGGCCCCTGTCTGGCTTGGGTGTGCATGTTGTCATAAGTGATGTAGGTGTCATAAGTGATGTAGGTTCCTACACAGTTCAGGAAACTCTATTAACAGCTGAACAATCTCTCTAGACCCTGTTCACCCCATTTCTTTTCTTTTACCTACCCCAGGGTTTATCTCAGCCCTTCATTCATCACATCATCATCGATTCATTCTTTCAATAGTTATTGAGCATTTACTGCATCAGACACAGTTTTAGGCACTGAGGACACAGCAATGAAGAAACGATAAAATAGATGCTGAAGTATGGCTCAGTGGTAGAGGATTTTCCATAGCATGCATGAGGCCCTGGGTTCCAACCCCCAGCACCACACACACACACACACACACACACACACACACACACACACCTACCTTCCCACACGGAGATGGAAATTCAAAGATGTTTAAGTCCCTTATATAAAATGGCATAGTATTTATAGATAACCTAAACACATCTTCCCATATACTTTAAATCCTCCCTGATTATTTTTATTATTACTTTTTTTTAGTTTTTTGAGACAAGGCCTCACTTATGTAGTCCTGGCTGGCCTACAGAACTCACTATGTAGAAAGAAACACCCATCCAGTTATAAGAGGCATACAGAATACCAAAAAGAACAGGATCAGCAAAGAAACTCCCTCCATCATATTATAGTTAAAACAATAAAAATGCAGTGAGGAATAGCAGCACACACCTTTAATCCCAGCATTTGGGAAACAGAGGCAGGCAGAACTCTGTGAGTTCCAGGATAGCCTGGTTTACCCAGTGAATTCAAGGCCAGCCAGGGCTATATAGTGAGACCCTGTATTGAAAAGAAAAGAAAGAAAGAAGAAAGACAGAGAAAGAGAGAGACAGACACAGGCTGGACTTGGTGGCACATGCCTTTAATCCTAGCACTCAGGAGGTAGAGGCAGTAGAGGCAGGCGGATCTCTGAGTTCAAGTCCAGCCTGGTCTACATAGTGAGTTCCAGACCAGCTGGGGCTACAGGGAGACCCCTGTCTCAAAAAGACCAAAAAATAAACAAATAAAAAAAAATTTTTTAAAGACGTACGCTACCATGCCTGGCCTTTCTGATTATTTATAATCTTGATACACTGTAAATGCTAGATAAGTAATTGTATTATTTCTGGGCTAGGGTTGTAGCTCACTGGTAAAGAGCTTGCCTATCATATATAAGGCTTTGGACTCAAGCCCAGCACCACAAAAAAAAAAAAGATACTGTTCAGGAAATAATAGCTGAGTACTGTGGCACATGCCTGTAATCCCAGCACTGGGGAAGCTGAAGCAGGAGGATTAGCATGAGTTCAAAGCTGTCTGGTACACACACACACACACACACACACACACACACATATATATATATATATATAGAGAGAGAGAGAGAGAGAGAGAGAGAGAGAGAGAGAGAGAGAGAGAGAGAGAGAGAGAGAGAGAGAGAGAGAGAGAGAGAGAGAGAGAGAGAGAGAGAGAGAGAGAGAGAGAGAGAGAGAGAGAGAGAGAGAATCAGTTCAGCCAGGGCCCTATCTCAAAAAATTTTTTTAAAGGAAATAATGACAAGGAAAAAAATTTCTTCTAGGTACAGGTAGATTTTTTTTTCATTTTTTAAAAATCTTCAGTTAGATAAACCCTCGAACTCTCAGATGCAGAGGTGTGACTGTATATCAGGTAGTATAAGGGCTATGGAACAAAAAAAGAGGGAAGGAGGTGGAAAGAGAGAGACACAGGGAGGTCAGGATTGTAATAGAGTGTGCCCAAGCAAGCCCTGGCTGAGCTGCCCTGAAATGAAGGAGTGAGCCTTTTGGAAACCTGAGGTAACTGCAATTTAGGCAAAATGAGTAAAAATGGCCAGGTGTGGTGGTACATGCCTTTACTCCCAGCACTCAGGAGGCAGAGGCAGGCAGATCTCTGTGAGTTCAAGATCAGCCTGGTCTACATAGTGAGTTCCAGGTCAGCTGGGGCTACAGGGAGACCCTGTCTCAAAAAAACCAAAAAAAAAAAAATGAATAGAAATGCCAAGCTGCAGAGGCAGGAGTGTGCTTGACACATCTGTATGAGAAAGTGTGAGGAAACCAGTGTGGCTGGAACAGAGAGAGTGAGGGGAGAGCGGTTGCCGGTGAAGTCAGAAGAGCTGGGGGTCATAAAGAGGACTTTGACTCTGAATGAGGGTTGTGAGCAGCATAGGGGCATGATTTGTCTTATTATTTAACAGAATCTCTGGTTGCTACAACAGCCTATAGGAGAGAGGGTGAAAAGGGACCAGTGAGGAGGAGGCTATGTCAGTAGTTGAGTGACGGGTGAATGAGGCTAGTTTAGGAGATATATATAGTGCTGGGAAAAGAACCCAGGGCCTTTGCACATGCTAGGCAACTGTTTTGCCACTAAGCTATATCTCCAAGCTTCAATTCTGGAAACATCGTCTTTTGTTGTTTGAAGAATTCTTTCTGAAACAGCTTTGTGTCCCCTGGCTGGCCTGGAGCTATACAAGTCCCTGTCTGTAAAAAAAGCGCCGGAGGCCAGGCGTAGTGGTGCACAGCCTTTAGTCCCAGCACTTGGGAGGCAAAGGCAGGTGGATCTTTGTGAGTTCAAGGCCAGCCTAGTCTACATAGTGAGTTCAGGTAAACTGGGACTACCAGGGAGACCCTGTCTCAAAAAGACGAAAAAAAAAAAAAAGTGCCAGAGCCAGGCATGGTGGCACACATCTTTAATCCCAGTATTCAGGAGGCAAGGACAGGTGAATCTCTGTGAGACTAAGGCCAGCCTGGTCTATATAGCAAGTTCCAGGCTAGCTGGGGCTAGAGGGAGACTCTGTCTTTAAAAAACAACAAAAAGGTGCCAGGCATGGTGGCACAAGCCTTTAATCCCAGCACTTAGGAGTCAGAGGCAGGCAAATCTCTGTGAGTTTGGGGTCAGTCTGGTCTACATAGCGAATTTCAGGCCTGCCAGAGTTACATGGTGAGACCCTGTCTCAAAAACAAACAAAAAGAGACAGTGGAGCAGTTTCCTGGTAATGAGAGGGGGAGAGGAGTGAAGAGTGAAAAAGGACCCTAACAATGAGTGTATGAATTAACTGATATAAGAAAAGCCAAAGCAGCAGGCTAGAGAGATGGCTCAGTAGTTAAGAGCACTGGCTGTTCTTGCAGAAGACCCGGGTTCAATTCCCAGCACCCACACGACAGCTAACAACTATCTGTAACTCCAGTTCCAGGGGATCTGATCTGTCTTCTGACCTCCTCAGCCACTGCATGACATGGGTGCACTTATATACATGCGGGCAATACACTCATACACATAAAATAAAAATAGCAAATGAAATTTTTTTGTCTTTAAAATTTTTAAAAATATTTTATTTAATGTGTATGCATGTATTGCCTGTATGTATGCAAGTGCACCCATATCATGCAATGCCCGTGGAGGACAGAAGTGGCTGTTGGAGCCCGTGGAACTGGAGTTACAGACAGTTGTTAGCTGCCATGTGGGTGTTAGGTTTCGAACCCAGGTCTTCTGCAAGAACAGTGTTCTTAAGTGCTGAGCCATCTCTCTAGCCCCCTGGTCTTTTTTTTTGAGACAGGGTCTCTCTGTAGCCCCAGCTGGCCTAGAGCTCACTATATAGACCAGGCTGGCTTTGAATTCACATAGATTTGCCTGCCTCTGCCTCCTGAGTGCTGGGATTAAAGGTGTACACCACCACATCCAGTGTAAAATATATTTTTAATTTTATTTATTTTTATTTTATGTGTATGCGTGTATTGCCTGCATGTAGGTAAGTGCACCCATGTCGTGCAATGCCTGCGGAGGACAGAAGAGTCTGTTGGATCCCCTGGAACTGGAGTTACCGACAGTTGTTGGCTGCCATGTGGGTACTGGGATTCGAACCTGGGTCTTCTGCAAGAACAGCCATATTTTTAAAAAAATATTTTTTTAAAAAAAAAGTCAAAACAAACCAAGCATGGTAGTACATGCCCATAATCCCAACACTCAGAAGGCTGAGGCCAGCCTAGTCTAAATTAGTGAGCTCCAGACAAGCCAGAGCTACAGATTGAGACCCTGTCTCAAATGGGGGGGAAAAGGAAAGAAGAGGAGAGGAGAGGAAAGGGAAAGAGAGAGAAAGGAAGCAAGGAAAGAAGGGAGAGGGAGGGAAAAAGAAAGCCAAGCAACAGCAAGTTTGAGCAAGAGTTTGTAGTGCTTGTTACATATTGAATTAACCACAGTGCCTGAATAAAACTCGGGGAGAGGTCACAGAGCTGGAGTTATGCATTCGAGACACCTGAGCCAACAGATGATAGTTACAGCCATGAGGTTGAATGCAATCACCAAAAAGGTGTATATAGACAGAGGCAAGAGGACTAAGGACTAAGCTGTAGAACCATCCCATACTCAGAAGCCCATGAGTTGAGGAGCAATATAAAGCATAAGAAAAGCAACTAGTGAAGAAGGAAGGAAGGAAACCAGGGCTGTGTGGCATCCTGGAGGCCAAAAGAAGAAACTGTTTTCAGGAAAAGGATAATCAGCTAGGACCTGGGTCACTGGTGGTCTAGCCAATGAGGACTAAGACCTGAACAATGATTTTACAATATAGACATCCCCAATGAACTTAACAGATTTGCTTACAGGCAAGGCAGGAAAGCTGACTAGAGTAGGGTCAAGAGACAATGGGAGCAGAGGAAGTGGAATGCACTGGAGTGTTCATAGCTCTTTTGAAGTATTTTGCTATAAAGGTGAGAAAAGAGCAGGACTTGCAGGTCTAGCCTGTGGGTGACTTCAATTATTTGGGGGCTTTAGGAAGGAGAAGTTCTCTTCTAATGATTTTAACTTTCTCATAAAAGCAAGGACCCAGAACCTCACTTTATCACAACTCATCCCTAACCGTAATTGTTTTCTTTCACCCTCCCATGTCCTTCCAGGTATACCAATTTTTCAGCTGCCTCCCAGAGGACAAGGTCCCCTATGTTAACAGTGCTGGGGAGAAATACAGGATCAAGCAGCTGCTGCACCAGTTGCCCCCACATGACAGTGAGGTGAGGAGAAAGATGAGAAGGGCACGCTGGGTGTGGGGTACAGCTTGGATAAGTTTAGTACAACTGGAAAGAAATAGGCAGGGTCAGACGAGGAAGGGTGAGATGAGCTGAAAGGTCTGGACCAGCAGGGGACATTCCTTGACCAAACTACAGTGAGCCTTGGGAGAAGTGGTTGAGGAATGGGTATTTCCAGTAGATGGCACTATATTTATACAATGGCCTAGAAATATAGATAGTGTCTAGAAGACTCCTCTTCTCCCCAGGCACAGTACTGCACAGCCCTGGAAGAGGAGGAGAAGAAAGAGTTGCGAGCCTTCAGCCAACAGCGGAAACGGGAGAATCTGGGGCGGGGCACTGTGCGCATCTTCCCAGTGACCATCACTGGGGCAATCTGTGAGGAGGTGAGCCATAGGGGGTCTCAGCAAGTTAAGGTCCTGAGGTCTACCACTTAAGACCCAGCAAGGTGAGCAGGTGTATCTCTAGAGCTTCCTGGTGAATGGAACCTGCTTCTTAGATCCCACTGTTGGGTTCAATTTGTCTCCAAGGAGGCTTTGATGTATATTTCCGTGGTTTCCTCTCCTCCCTGCAGAGGACATGGGCAGGGGCTGTTTCTTTGATTCTTTGTGGTCAGGACTTATCCTTAAGATCTGACGACATAGCTGGACATGATGGCTCCCACCTGTAATCCTAGCATTTGGGAAGCTAGGACAGGAAGACTACTGTAAGTTCAAGGACAGCCTGGGCTATAGACTAAGACCCTGTCTCAAAACAAAAAATTAAAAGAACTGACTCTCAGGCCCATCCCCAGAAATGCAAAACAACAACAATAAATTGATGCACAGTGGTAGAGCCTGAATCCTGAACTAAAGCCCTCTACAGCAGATGTAATTTGTATCAAAGACTTTATCTGGTGGGTCTTTAGAACTATTTGGTGAGGTCAATGGCAGAGACCCTGGTGGGTAGAGAGTATCTTTATAGCACCCCTACTGGGCCCAGCTTTATGTCCATACCAGCCATCTAGGAGAAGGCTTGCCTATAAGATCATCCATGATGGTAAGGCCTGTCTATAATTTCCCTCATGAGCAGAGTCAGCTTCTGACCTGCCCCACCATGAGTGGGAACTATCTCAGATTTACCCTGTACATAGAGTTAGTTATGTGAGCCAAGCATGGTGGTACAGACCTGTAATCTCAGCACTTGGGAGGTAGAGGCAGGAGAATCAGGAGTTCAAGGCCAGCCACAGCTGTGTATTGAATTCAGGACCAGACTGGGCTACTTGAGACCGTTTTCAAACAAAATATACAAAGGTTCACCATGCAGGAATCCCAAGTATGATTCCATCAATCTGACTACCTTGGTGATTATGATGGTGTCTGTCATTTGACAGTGTGGAAAACAGATCGGAGGTGGGGACATTGCGGTGTTTGCCAGTCGAGCAGGACTTGGGGCCTGCTGGCATCCACAGTGCTTTGTGTGTACCACATGCCAGGAGCTGCTTGTTGACCTCATCTACTTCTATCATGCTGGCAAGGTCTATTGTGGGCGCCACCATGCTGAGTGTCTGCGCCCTCGCTGCCAAGCATGTGATGAGGTTAGTGCCTCCCTGGCCAGGGGTGGGAGTGGAGGATGGACAGGACCAGAAGCAAGCTCTTCTGACAGCCCCAGGTGATCTTTACCCTCCAGATCATCTTCTCCCCTGAGTGTACAGAGGCTGAGGGCCGGCACTGGCACATGGGTCACTTCTGCTGTTTCGAGTGTGAAACTTCACTAGGAGGCCAGCGCTATGTCATGCGTCAGAGCCGCCCACACTGCTGCTCCTGCTATGAGGCTCGCCATGCTGAGTACTGCGATGGCTGTGGGGAGCACATCGGTGGGTGAACGGTGAATGTGATGAGAACTGGATAGAGGGATGCATGGACAGCTAAGCCACAGCCCCATTCACCTGGAGTCCTCTTGTCCTCCAGGTCCCATCCCCCACTACACACACACACACACACACACACACACACACACACACACACACACAAAATCATTTAAATCTAGTCCCAGCACCACAGTCCTGTGCTTTCACTACAAGTCTCATTCCTAACCCCTCTCAGGCTCTTTCTCCTCTTCCTTTGGGGAGTGGACTTAGGGTCTCAAACTTGCTAAATAGATGAGCTATACTTCCCAGACCATAGGACATACTTTCTAAATTTCCACACCATCAGTCCCCAACTACACAGAGCACCCTGTGATTCCAGCACTCTGAACTACAACCTCTACTCCCCAAAGCTATGCTCTAATCTTTTCTGGTTCCCTCAGCCTAGGGTAGGGTCCCACCTTCTAGAGACACTCTACATTCTACGACCTGCTCCTTTGCCACTACCTGCTGAGTCCTGCCCCCACTATCCAAGCCTCTTCTAAGGTCCAGCCTTCCACCTGAAGCTGGCCAGCGCTCTTAATGCCCACATCTTAAGCTTCAGTGCCCATTTGTGCTCTTTAGGTGAGCATCCTGGAAAAGCAAGGGGAGAGGGCAACACTGCCAGCTACATACACTCCAGGAGATAAGATGTGGGCCAGACCTCAAGTTGCCTGCTTTCTCCGGAGAAAGGGTCATTCTGGGAACGGGGAGGCACATTGGGGTACCCTGTCTCAAAAACCCCTCCTCTTCCCAAGAAAAGCCCCATTCAGGAGGGGTAGGAGTATGCCTGTGGGTCCTGCCTCAGTTTTCCCTTCGCTTTGGTCCCCACAGGCCTGGACCAAGGCCAGATGGCTTATGAGAGCCAACACTGGCACGCCTCAGACCGCTGCTTCTGTTGTAGCCGCTGTGGGCGAGCCCTACTGGGCCGCCCTTTCCTGCCACGCCGTGGCCTAATCTTCTGCTCACGAGCCTGCAGCCTTGGATCGGAGACCACCGCTCCGGGTCCGAGTCGCTGCAGCTGGAGGGCGGGCACAGTCAGTACACCGCTCACAGCTTCCACCGCCTCTTTCCCGGCTGCGGAGGGAGCTGAGACAGCCAGCAAAGGCGCCGGTACTGAAGCAGCATCTGGTGAGCCACGCCCAGCCTCTGCCCCACCCGCGCCGCTACCCTGCCTTTCCCGCCCGCATCCACGCAGCTTGGCTCTGCCTCTAACTACACCAGCCTGCTGAAGTCTGGGTCCGCCCAGCACCTGCAGAGTCTGCAACACACCTCTGCTAGTTCTAGCTTGAGCCTAAGTCCCTCCTCATTTCCTCCAACCGGTCACTCTCCACCCACTGCACCCAGGCTCCTCCCCCGTTCTATCCCTACCAAATCTACTCCAACCCAAGGTACGCCCCCTTCCTGCTACTCCATTTCGCCATTCCCTGGCCACGCCCCATACACCAAGCCTGCCTTGTTCCTATCTGACTTCCTACCCTCTAGAGCTGCCCAAAGCCTGCACCTGGAGTCAGACTCTGGGGGCTCCCCATCCCCCTGCTGGTCTCAGACCTCTGCCCCACTTCACAGTTCTGGTGGGGGGAAGAAGTCCTTCCACAGGTCTTCCTCCAGGTAGAGGCCAGACAAAGCAGGCAGATACAGGAAGTACTCCATCTTTCCTCTTCCAGCAGCAGACCCTGAGGAGCCCTCCCGTTTTCTGAGAGGGGCCCCCCACCGCCACTCTATGCCTGAGCTGGGGCTCCGCAGTGCTCCTGAGACACCCACAGAGTCCCCTGGACGTTCTGACCCGCGCCCCGACAATAGTGCCTTTGGTCGCCAGAGTACCCCACGTGTCAGCTTCCGCGATCCTCTGGTGTCTGAGGGAGGTCCACGACGGACCCTGAGTGCACCTCCCGCCCAGCGCCGCAGGCCACGCAGTCCCCCACCCAGGGCCCCCAGCCGCCGACGCCGACGCAGCCACCACCACTACCACCCTGGCAGACGCGGCCACCATCGACGCGGCTTGGGATCGGGTTCTGACTCAGGATCTTGCTCCAGCTCACCCTCCAGCCCCAGTTCTGAGTCCTCTGAGGATGATGGCTTCTTCTTGGGTGAACGTATCCCGCTGCCCCCGCACCTGTGCAGGCCCAGGACCTCTCAGGACACTGCAACTGAAACATTTAACTCTCCAGTCCCACCCCTCACCCAGGAGTCTCGCCCAGCAACGCCCCGCCAGGCCCGAGATAAGAACTGTGTGGTGGCTTGAAGGAAGGCAGCCCTAGAAGGGGCTCTGTTTCCCAGTTAGTGTAGATAATGATCCTCCTAAACTAAGTCATAAGTCCCCTTCCTTCCCTTCTCTTTCCTCAGTTTGTAATATTGAAGCAATGGAATATTTCTTTGAAAAAAGGATTGCCTTTTCCTCAATTTCCCTCCTGATGCTAGTATCTACATTTCATAAAAGGATTAACTTATTCATTATAGATTTTAACAATCTGTTTATTATTTATTTATCCCTTTCATTATAGATTTTAACAATCTGTTTATTATTTATCCCTCCACAGCCCACCATACACACAGAAGAGGTTATCTGGAGTGGGTCACTCTGAAATTAGAGGCACCCATCTCATTTTGTAGCTTATGTGGGGTATGGTTCAGGCAGAACTGTCACCTGCTGGTACTGCAAAGGGAAGGGGGACCTAGGCACACCCATAAAGGTGACCACACCCAGGGGAGTTGATTGGCAGGCCAAAAGACAAAATTCTCCCAATAAAGGCACTTTTACAGGAGATGTAGCTCAGTGGAGAGTGCTTACCTAGCATACACATGGCTCTAGGTTCAATCTCTTATACTATAAAGGCACTTTAACCTCAGTGGGATCTGGGAGTTAATTGACTGGGGAGTGTTATGAAGACAGGAGGAGTTTTTGATGGAAGAGCTATTTGCAGGTTTCAGAGAAAGATGAATGATGTTCACCTACACTGCGCCATCTGTGGGGTCTGCAAGAGGAAAAGAGAGAAAGCATTGTGGGTCCATTGCCCATTTTACAGACAGAAATGCTGAAGCTTATGGCACTTACTGGTACAAAAGACATAAGCTACAATAAGGGACAGATTGGCATTCATATCCTTCCTTGGGAGATCCCTTTCCTTTTCTCTGCTCTCAGCACACACACACACACACACACACACTCACACACTTACCAGTGGGGGCTGCTGTATGTCTTTGCTGCTGAAGTGGGAAGGTGAAGTAGGCATCATAGCCAAAGAGGAACGTAGCAATTAGTCCCAGTACCTTGGAAGATGGGAGTGAGGGGACTGGATTAGAGGGTAGATCTAACTCAGCCTCTTACCTCATTGTATCCACCACCTCCAGGGACTGCCCCAAGCTGGGTGGTGACTCCAGCCCCATGCAAGGAAGCCAAAGAACCTCAGGAAAAGGCCAGGAGACTGACTACGATCCCACCATCTCCCCAGTATGTCTGGGGAGTACTAACACAGGACAGCCACCCTCATCACTTCATATGTAGAAGACATGCTTCATACTACATTGGAGACAAAACTCTAGCAGATGGTAGCCTAGCATGTTGACAAAGGGACCACCTGTTTGTACTTCCCACAAAAGTCCCTGTGTCTGACAAGGGACAGTCCTTTACAGCAATGATCTTGAGAGGTAAATCATTGTTGCTGGGACCAGACTTTGCTGCAGATCCTGACAGCAACTTTGGCCTGCTGTAGCCCACACACTTCCTGCAGATACCCCTGGATCTCCAAACCCTTCTTCCAGTGTTTTGGAGCTGCTACTTGAGCCCTTACCCCAGCGACAATTTTGGAGTTCCCTCTTCCATCCACAAGGACAATAATGGAGGTGATCAGGTAGAGGATGGCAGCTAAGAGGGATCGGAAGAAGTCCTGTGAGGTGGATGGAGAAGGGTGAATTCAGAATCCAGTGGTCTCCAGACCACCCCAACTTCCCAACTACTGCCCAGTCTCTCCAGTGCTGGCCCCCTTCTCACAGTCCAGGGCCAGTTGATGAACGGTATCTTGGTGTGCAGGTCACACATGTAGAAGACAAACAAGACAGCAGCAAAGATCATCTCAATCACTGACAGTGAGGAGTATGCTGATGTCGATGCACTGAAGCAAATCAAAATCACTAAGCACAGTACCTGAAAGGGTGACATGGAAAGGGGATTTCAATCAGTCCCAGAGCTAAGTGGAATGGTTTAAATCAGAGAAGAGGGATCTCAAACTCAAATGCCTACCAGGAAAAAAAAGTGAAACCCATTTCCCAGGGCTGGAAATGTATGTAGCTCAGTGGCAGAGCATTTGCCTAACATGTATGAGGTCCTGGGTTCCACCCACCCAGCACCAGGAATAAAAGAAAAGAAAAGAAATTCCATTTCTCAAATGCCTACCAGGACTGAGAAAATGACCCATATTAATTGCTAAACAGGGGTAAGAGAGATGGTGGCTAAGAGTGCTTACTGCTCTTGCAAAGGACTCAGGTTCGGTCCCAGCACCCACATGGTGGGTCCAGAGCTGTCTTCTGCCCCCCCCCCCCGTACACATACATACATGCAGGCAAAAACACTTGTACACATAAAATAAATCTTTTTTAAAAATTGCCAAACACTGAGGACTGGCGAGATAGCTCCACAGTGAAAAGTACTGGCTGCTCTTGCAGAGGACCTGGGTTCGATTCTCAGCACCCACACAGTGGCTAACAACCATCTGTAAGTCTACTTCTAGGGGATCTGACGCCTTCCTCTGGCCTCTACAGGCACATCACGACATGGGTGCACTTACCTACATACAGGCGCAACACTCATACAGATAAAAATAAATTTTAAAAAATTAAATTTTAAAAAATGCTAGATACTTTGTGTGCTCACAATGTCTAAGCACTTTACAAATATTAATTCACTTAATCATCACAATCTAATGAGCTAAATGCTATTATTAGTGTCTATTTTACACATGAGAAAAGTGAGTCACAAAGTTTAAGTGGGGGCTGGAGAGATGGCTCAGCAGTTAAGAGCACTGGCTGCTCTTGCATAGGACCCAGGTTCGTTTCCCAGCACCCACATGGCAGCCAACAACGTTCTGTAACTCCAGTTCCAGGGGACCTGACGCCCTCTTCTGACCTCCGCAGGCATTGCACGACATGGGTGCATTTACATGCAGGCAATACACTTACACACATAAAATAAAATAAATAAAATAGTTTTTAAAAACAGAGAGGTTAAGTGGCTTGCCCAGGGTCACCGGGTAAGAAAGGAGCAGAAGTGCGTGCCTAGATCCCCCTTTCCTTCTTAAGCTACAGACAGCCTGAGGGGTGTGACTCTGCCAGGTGTCTGGTGAGGGCTCTTGGTGCGAGCTTCCAGACCTTTAGGGGCGGGACGTGTGGTTCCCCAGGCAACCCCTACGGGAAATGGTGAGACTGACACTGGAAAGGGAGGGCTGGGTTAAAGGCACCGCACCCTTTTATAAGTGACTCAAAGGCAGTGCCCACTTTGAAGGGGATGGGAACCCAAGGCTCTCTATAGCCATCTGAAGGGCTAAGGACCTCCCATCCAGTCCCAAAAGAGCTAGAAAGAACTGGTAAACGGCGGGGCGTCCTACCCCCGGGGACTAGTTCTCACTACCCCACCCCAACAGGCTCCGCCCCTGGGCGCCCTGCCAGCCCGCCCGCCAGTGCCCAGTCCGGCCACACCCTGCCACGAGAGGTTCCCACTTCCCAGACCCCAGGACCCCTTCGCTGCCTCTACGGAGTCCACACGGATTCCCCCTCACCAAGCCCCGCCACATGAATTGTAGATTCTTTAGCTCTCTCGTGGACCACCCTCTCCACCCTTGGCCCACGCCCCACGGATTCCCCTGCACCTTAACTTCGAGCATTCTCCACTAACTCCTCAATCTGCACCCCACTGCGGACCAGCGGAGCCACGCGCCTGCCTCACTCGGGACGATCCAGTATCGCTTGGTCCAGCCTGCCCACCCAGCCTCCGCCCACCCGCCTGCCCAGGAGCGCTCACAATCTCGGCGAACAGGAGAATTCCCTTTCTGGTGCGCCAGTAACTGGTGCACGCTAGCCAGCAGCCAGGGGCTGAGAGGCGCTCAGAGTCCGCCATGGCGTGGGCCGGGGTCCCTGGGACGCAGAGGTTCTGCTTGCTGCTCACGGGTTCGAGGACACTGCACACCCAGCCGTCTGTCCCGCCGCCTGGCTGGGAAGGGGACCCCGAGGCAAAGGAGGGAGTGAATCACCGCGCTGAGCTGAAGCGGGCGGGGCCGGAGGGGGCCGGGCCAGGTGGCTGCCGCCCCGGAAGCCCCTTCTGCCTGCCGGCTGAGGATGGTACCCGCCGACGAACAGCCCCATCTCCAAGGTGCTTGGCAGCTCCAGGTACCAGGCGCAAGAACATAGACCCTTTGCCTTTTTAAAGTGCAAAAGCGTTGCCTCGTCTCAGAATCGCAGGAATCCGGCTTTGGAAGGGAGTGACTTGGTTTCCTATGTTTGATCTTAGCTAAAAGGCCAAGAAGCAATAGAGTAACTCGGTTTCCTTATCTGAAAAACTGCCGGACCTTATTTAATATTTAAACCCGAAATTCTCAGGGCCAGGTATGTTTCAAGAATTCGGAGTATTTTGAATTTTAGGTTTTCCTGTTGTATGAACGGTACATTACTTAACAATCTCAGTGGGGTCTGGGGTGTTGAGTTATTATTACCTCAATAAAAGGTGTAAATGTTCACAATAAGAAGCACAAATAAAGACTGAAATTTGTTCCTCACTAAGTCAGGTTAGGGTCTGTAGCTAAATGGTACCAAAGGTGGGGGGACAGCCAGTTTCCAGAGCTTTGGGGCTTTGGCAGTTACAGATAATGGATAGTGGCTGTGGTGGTGACAGTGAGGCTGTGCTGGTGCAAAGACTGAGGGAGAACAGATCCTAGTGAGTTCGTAGCAAACAGTGGTGAATATCATTAATCCCCTTAGAGCCTAGGCAGCCCAGGGGTGATTCTGTGCTTTGCAATTCCAGGAAGTCCTCAACCTAAGTGCTGGACCTCGGACCTCCCTGCTTCTGAGGATAAGCCAGCCCTAGGTGAAGAATGAGGAGAGCACATGCTTTTGCTGGGAGCTTGGTGAGGTAAGAGAATGGCTCAATGCTGGGTAAGAAAGTTGTTGACATTTGCAGAATGTGTTCCTGAGCAATTCATTCCTCCTGCCTGCCTTAGTGTCTTCATCTGGGTCATGCATCTGGTTACCTGAAATCGGGACCTCCAAGTATTCTGGTAATCACTCTGCATACTAGATGGTGGTTTTACTTGAATCTTTTTGGAAAGCCAAGAGAATTCAACCTGAGGTCCTGCCTGCCTCTACCCCAAACAGAGGTCTCTTCTAAACTAAGGAAGGGGCTCCCCTTCTCAACTGTCATTGCTGAAAGAGTAGTGGAAGGGTTGAAACATACTTTTTCCCAGTGCTGAGTGCATGCATTCCAGCTGTGATGAAGACCTGAATTAGTGGAACATAACAGATTTGGCTGTTTCTGACCTTTGCACTTGCTGTTCCCATTATTGTCAATGCCCAGGTCTTCATTCATTCATTTGGCTTCTAGTTATTCAGGTTCCACCTCAAATATTTTGTCTTCAAAGAGACCAGCAGCCCACCACCATCTCTCACAATATAATCTCATTTTCTTTTTCTTTCATTTTGATTTGTTTGTTGTTATTTGAGACAGTTTCACTAAGTAGCCCAGGCTGACCTGGAACTTGCTACAACCAGGGCTGGCCTAGAACTTGTGGTTCTCCTCCCACAGGATGGTAAAATTACAAAAACAATCTTTATTATTTTTGTGATTCTCACTTCTCTCTGAAATGTGCTTTTATTTATTCCTCTTCTTGTTGTTTTCATCTGACATCCGCCTACCTTCAGAGGACCAGCCTCACAAGGATATAAAACTTTGTCTACTTCCCCCAGTGCAAGGTATACAAATGCAGCTCAGCTAATATTTGTCAAATATTTGTGAGATTAAGATGACAGCCTTGGAAATCAGTCTTTGACTAATCTTGCTTTGTGTTCCCCACCCCCAAGCCATCTATTTGCACTCTCTGTGCCTCACTTTCCCTCTTTGTGAAATGGATCAATTAGAGTTAAGTAGGTATGTAACTAGATGGACATAAATAACACATTAAAGCTAGTAGCAGGGATGAGGCTAAGTAAATGGTGACTGGAGTTACTATTATTAGCTCCCTGGGTGTGACTGTTCAGGAATTGGGTGTCAGAGTCCTTTCCAGACTTCTGGGGAGCCATGCTCCCACCATGCCCTGAGTCACTCACACAACGCTTCAAACGTTCACCTCTTCATACCCCCGTTTCCAAGCTGTTCCTGTTTGGTTTTGCAGGCCATCTCCACTCCAGTGCCACCTGTGACTTGCCCACTCTGGTCCTGAAATTCCTCTCTCCTCTCTGCTACTCCTTATAGGGGTGAAAGTTGCCTGTGCAGACCACAGCTCCCCTCTTTGGGGGATGGGGCTGAGTGTTCAGGATGTGGTGACAGCAAAGGTGAGTGAACATTTGTAGTATTGGCCTGTGCCTGCTTCTGGGCTACCCTGTTAAGAATCCACTGCCTATATAAGCCTTAACAGTGGGGCTCAGTTTCCAGGGTGGAGGAAACGCTGAGTCTTGACTGGGACCAGGACCGTCCAGCACACAGCTTGTATACACAAGCAGGGCAGCAGTTTGTCACCATCTATGGAAAAGGGGAGGCGTGGCCCAAAGGCTTCTAACAGCCTTTTTTAGCCCGGCCTGCATAGAACGCTGACTCACACCTTCCCGCCTCTGTCCCAAAGTGGGGTCCAGAGCCCCAGCCTGTGCCCCTATGGCAGTGGACTTGCTAGTTAAAGCTAGCCTTTCAAGACGGAAGTGGGAAACCACAGATTCCGGCCTAAGGAAGGCGCCTAGGTTTTATATTTGCTAACCCTACATCAACTGAGGATCTGGACGATTCTGAGAGGGAATCCCAGGCATACTGGGGCACTCCCACAACAGGCCCAGCTCTGCATTCCCCGCCACATGCAGTAATTATGTGTGTGAGAGACACACTTCCAAAAGTGAAATGAAGTGCAGGAGCTGACGAAGAGAAATGAAGAAGCAAAAGTGAAGGCCCATCTGGAGGCCTGAAGGAAGTGACATGCAGCTTGCCAGTGCTTTCAAGAGGCCCTCATTGAAATCAGATCGACTCACCCCTCCTTTTCAGGGTGGACTGGGAAGCCTCACCCCATCTAAACCACCTGGCAAGTCAGGACTGGATCTAGATATTTTATTACCTCCCAGCCTGGAACAACACCGAGTGCGGGGGAGGGGGGGGCTGTACCACTGACACCTTGAGGGGAGTGTGGGTCAGTCCACTGAGCGGTGGGAGAAGCTAGGGCTTGACCATCAGCATGCTAGATTCAGGCTGGACTTCACCAGGTGAGCACAGCAGAGCTGCCTGATGATGCTCAGTGCCTCCGCCTTCCGGCTGCTATCTCCTGAGCGAGCTGTGTGGCCCCTGGAACCCCTAGGGCCCTCAAGAGACGCTCGCTCCTCGCTTGGCAGCAGCCAGGGCCCAGGGGAACGCGGGATGTAGTCATTCAGGTCCTCTGTGGGTTGCTCTGATGTGGGAACCATGCGGCCATCAGCAGCCTCTGGACTAGGTTCAGGGCTGGCCTGGGTCTTGGGCCAGTGGAGAGCTGGGGAAATGGCGCTTCGAGACTCTCGCCCCCTAGGATGTGGACGATCTGGGGGGAGCAAGACTGAAGGTTAGAGTAAGTGATGGGGTGGGGAATGGAACCAGGGCTAAGAGTGGACAGGAAAACCCTTAGAGAAAACTCTCCTCAGTGTCTGGAGGTGCCCTTTAGTGACTGTTGCCACCCGTCACAAACTCCAACATCTTTTCCCAGAGGCCTATTCCTTCAATCAAGGATGTGCCCCTCAAAAAACAAATCATGACTCTGGCCTTTGGACCATGAAGCCTTCCTATGCTAGACTTCTGAATCTCCCCTCTCTAATCCCTCCTCCCTTGGTTCCCTGCCCTTTCTCTTATTGATCATTTTTAAAACATTTTTTAGTTTTTATTTTGTGTGTGTGCATCGTGTGTCCCATGTGTAGAGGACTTGAGGAAGGAAGTTCTCTCCTTCCACCATGTGGGTCTTGCAGGATGGAACATCCCTCCTCTACTCTCCCCAGATCTCAAAAGCACCCTCTCTGAAGTTCCTACCCTGGGAGGGGCTCCCTTTCCTGTACCAACTTTTGAGAATACTATAATCTCATCCAGACACTGAACCCCTAGTCTCCCCACTGAGATCACCAAACCCTTTCCACTCTAGATCCAGCCTTTCCACTCTGTGAGCCTCTCCTTCCCTTCTCCATCCCTGCCTCTCTCCCCTGGAAACCCACCACCTCACCTCTCTTCTGATGTGTTCTAACCCCCTCAAGCCTATTGGCATAGGTCTCTTGAAACCTGCAGAGTACCAGGTGGAGCCGGGGGCCTCCAGCACGGATCCGATCCACAACCTGGGCATGAGTGAGGCCCTGTGTTGACTCTCCATTGATATGGAGCACAAGGTCACCTGCCTGTAAGAATACAAGGTAGTGGTGTTGTAGGAAGGACAGATGGAGAACTCCTGACAAAGACAGGGATCATAGTTATGAATAGACGAGCTAACCTGCAAGTGACCACATTGTTGTGCTGGTCCATCCTTCAGCAGCCCATGCACAATGAGTGGAGCATCCCCAGATGCACCATGGCCACCACTTAAGGTAAGACCAAAACCTGAAGGACCTTGGACCAGCTCCACAGAGAACCGACCAGCAGCTTGGGTTGGCTTCAAAATATAACTTGCCTTACTCTGGGTTACAGGATGTGGCCCAGTACATGTACCCAGAATCTCAGACCGGCGATGCTGGAATAAGGGCAAAGGATACATAAATTAGCTGGGTGTGGGAAGTGCATGCCTGTAATCCCAGCACTGGATAGGCTGAGACAACAGAATCACAAGTTTGAGGATAGCTTAATCTACTTATCAAGTTGCAAGCCAGAGGATGGGCTACAGAGGATGCAGTCTTAAAAACAGCAAAACTGTGTTCCCCACTGCTCAAAACAATGTTGTTCCTTAACTATACCTGTCTGCTAGACACCTGTAGTAGCCAGGGATGCTTGGTCTCATACATGTTAAAATTTTTTTTAAAAAAGAAAAAAAAAAAAACCCGGCAAAAACAAAGAGTGAGCATAGAGCATAGCATTGAGTAGTAGTACCTGGGGCTGATGTTCCACAAGAGTGGCATGAGGCAAGCGGCTGTCTGTGACTTCTATGTCTGCAGAATCCATAACACTAACAGCTAAGGTGTGAAAGACAGAGGAAGGTACCAAGAGTCATGATGAGGAAACATCCTAGGACCCCTAAGTTAACATTCTGACCTTACCTATTTGCCTACACTCTTCAACTCACACACAGACTTGTCCAACATTTAACTATGTATGGACCACTCTCCACCCTAGTAATCTTTAAAGCTCAGTCTACAAAAATAACTGTCCTGACTTCCTCTTCTTAACAAATAATCCTGTGCCATCCATTTGAATAATCTTCCATACCCTCCTCCCTGCTGCTAATAACACATAGGCTATGTGCAGTAAGTAACACCCTAAGTGGCTAGGGCTGCAGCTTAGTGGTAAAGGACTTGCCTAGCATGTATGATGGCCAGGGTTTTGTTCCCAGCACATATACACATATGTAATTTTTTTTAATTTTATTATTTTTATTTTCTGTGTATGAGTGTTTTGCCTACATGTATGTAAGTGCACCACATGCGTGCAGTGATGGGAATCGAACCCAGGTCCTCTGGAAGAACAGCAAGTGTTCTTAACCACTGAGCCATCTCTCCATCCCCATTACATACATAAATTTTTAAAAATATTTTATTTTATATTAATTTTATATGTATGTGTGCACTGCCTGCATGTATGTAAGCGTACCCAGTCGTGCAGTGCCGGTGGAGAACAGAAGAGGTCGTTGGATCCCCTGGAACTGGAGTTATGGACAGTTGTTAGCTGCCATTTGGGTGCTGGGACTTGAACTCAGGTCTTCTGCAAGAACAGCTAGTGTTCTTAACCACTAAGCCATCTCTCCAGCCCACATACATTTTTTTTTTATCTTTTTCAGACAGGGTCTCCCTGTAGCCCCAGCTGACCTGGAATTCACTATGTAGACCAGGCTGGCCTCGAACTCACAGAAATCTGCCTGCCTCTGCCTCCCAAGTGCTGGGATTAAAGGCGTGTGCCACCACGCCCAGATACATAAATTTTTGAGAAAAAAAAAACAGCTAAGGCCCTCCCAGAAGGTTGCTATCTCAAGATTTGGTTCCTGAAAATCTAGGCTGTGCCCTCTAATTCGCCTGTGAAATTTATTTCATTCCTCACATTTCAAAATCTACCCACAGCCATGGCCTAGAATCCAGCACTTAAAAGGATTGGCTCAAATTCGAGACCAGTTTAGCCTCCAGGCAGGAGGACTGGTTCAAGCTGGAGGCCAGCTTAACTTCTGTCTTGAGACCTGTCTCAATCTGCCACAGGAGGGCTAGAGGGATGGCTCTAGAGTTTACAGCTCTTGCAGAGGCCTGGAGTTTGGTTCCAGCACCCACATCAGGTGGCTTATAACTTCCTATAATTCCAGTTCCAGGGGGACTCCAACACCTCTGGCATCCTCTGGCATCTGCAGTCATGTGCACACACCCACATGCAAACACAAATATATAAAATTCAAAATAATAAAAATGAGGCTGGAGAGACAGCTTAGCAGTTAAAAGCACTGGCTGCCCTAGCACAGGACCCCAGGGTTAGGTTCCCAACCACATGGCAGCTAACCACTGTCTGAAACGTCAGTCCAGGGGATCTGATGCCCTTTTCTGGCCTCTGCAGGCATTGCAGAACATGGGTGTACTTAGATACAAGCAGGCAAAACACTCACACATAAAATAAAAATAAATAATTTTTAAGATAATCATCATCTCTTTTTTTTTGGTCTTTTTGAGGCAGGGTCTCCCTGCAGCCCCAGCTGGCCTGGAACTCACTATGGTAGACTAGGCTGGCCTTGAACTCACAGAGAGAGATCCTCCTGCCTCTGCTAGGATCAAAGGCATGCACCACCAGGCCTGGCTGGATTTTTTTTTTTTGACAATCATCATCATCATCTTAAAGAAACCAGCCAGACCAGGCATGGTGCCAAAGGCAGTTCAATCCCAGCACTTGGGAGACAGAGGCAGGCAGATCTCTGTGAAATTGAGGCCAGCCTGGTCTCCATACCAAGTTCCAGGCCAGCATCAAAAAGACAAGAAAGAGGGCTGGAGAGATGGCTCAGCGGTTAAGAACACTGGTTGTTCTTGCAGAGGACCCAGGTTTGACTCCCAGCACCCATATGGCAGCTAATAACCATCCATAACTTCAGTCCCAGGGGATCCCACAGCCTCTTCTGACCTCCATGGGCATTGCCGGACAGAGGTACACTTACCTACATGCAGGCAATACACACATACACATAAAATAAAAATAATAAAATTTTTAAAAGTTAAAAAAAATAGCCGGGCATGGTGCCTTTAATCCCAGCACTTGGGAGGCAGAGGCAGGCAGATCTCTGTGAGTTCAAGGCCAGCCTGGTCTACATGGTGAGTTCCAGGACAGGTGGGGCTACAGGGAGACCCTGTCTCAAAAAGACCAAAAAAAAAAAAAAAGTTAAAAAAAATTTAAAAAGACAAGAAAAAAAAGGAAGAGAAAAAGAATCCAGGTATGGTGACATACACCTTTAATCCCAGCACTTGTGAATCAGAGGCAGGAGGATCTCTGTGAATTTGAGAATTCAAGGCCAGTCTGGTCTACATAATAAGTCCCAGGCCAGCCAGGGCTACAAAAAAAAAGAGAAGGGAGGAAACAAAAATTCGCCTTCAATATGTTTAGAGCTTACACCCCTTGACTGGCATTCCACACACATCCTTTAGTACAGTATCCGTCCCCCACCCCCAAGTGCTGCCTCCTCAGAAATGACATTTTGGGGGACAATTTCCTACCGGTATAGAATGTATTGTGATCACCCTCATTACCTTACCCGTCTCCCACTCCTGCTAACTCCCTTCTTGCCATCTAGTCTCCCTCCTACCCTTATATCTTTTGTGTCTGTGTGTGTAAGTAGCCACAGCTAGTATTTATGATTGAGATTGGCATGCCAAAGCCCTGCTGATCTAACAATCCAGCCCAGAAAGCTCCAGGAATGTTCCAAACGAAGCTCATCTATCAAACAACCCTAAAGGAATACACTAGAATTCTGAAGGTCTCGCCTCCTCCGAACCCTCCCTGCCGAATCACACACCTCGGCCCCACCCAGGGACCTAACAATCCTAAACCTTCAAGTTTGAAACCCATTCCCCTCCCGCCCCCGCCCCCGCGCCCTCGCCCCAGCACCCTCCCCTGTACGTACCCTCCTTGGAGCGCAGGCGCAATGTAGCGCCAGCTTTGCGTACCAGAGCTGACATGTCGGCTGCAGCTCGGGCCGCCAGGGGTCGCGCGTTTAGCCGCGCCAGGAGCTGTCTTGCACTGGGGCCCCCAGGCACGGGAAAGCGGCGGCCTGCGCAGGAGAGGGGGACAAGACACCGCAGAATCCTGAGCCCCAGCGAACACCCATGATTCTGAAGTCCAAAGACCTAGATGTGCCACTCAAGATATCCGGAGGGCCCTTACCACTCCTATAGTTCCAGAAGTCGCCGACAGCCCCTCTCCTTTCCTAGGATCCCTGACCGCCGCGGGTGTAGGTGCAGCGCGCCACCTTGCCCCATCAGTGTCTCGGGAGGTAGCCATTTGATTGCAATAGGCCTGGACACCTCTGAACACCCAACGAATGTTTTCGGAGCTCCCCTCACTGTCCCTTAATAACTAGATGCCAAACTTCTTTCACCATGTCCCTGGGAACCCAGCTTCTCCCAGATAAACCCCTCCCCACGCGCAGCCCTGGAACGCCCCCCCCCCTTCACCTCCAGTATCCTAGGCAGCCCCAGGAGTTCCCTTAGAGGTCCTGTTTCCGCACCCGGCCTAAGCACCTCTAGATTCCCTCTTTACAGGTCCCCAGCCCACCCACCCAATTCACTACAGACTGCCCAGGCGTCCGCAGACACCTCCAAGTTCTACTCCCCAGACTCATGAGAGGGCCCTAGAATCTGATGTCCTCCCTTCCACTCCCTTGTGAGGTAGGGGCCCTGGAACACACAGAGGCCCTGGCTTCTGCCACTGCTGCTGGGGCACCAGGGCTTCTGTTTACCACCTGTAGAGTGCAAACCCATGAGGAACAGATGAGCGGGGCGAGGGTGGCTTGGGACTTCTTCCCTTCACCTCTTCTCCGCCCCTGCCAGTACCTCCTCTGCTCCCTCTAGGGTCTGCGGTGTTCCCAGCACGCGATTCCATGGCCGGTGGCTGCCAGGCAGCCAGGGGAAGAGTTTTTAGCTCAGGGCCGCCCTCACCTGGCTCTCTGCCCAGGCCTGAACGCGGCCGTGTCTGGCCAGTCCCTAGGCCTGGCGCCCCGACACCGCGAGGTGACCTGCCTGGCCGCTGGCAAGGAGGCCTGGCTGTAGGAGTCAGTAAGAGAGTTTGGCCGCGCTCTGCCTCAGGCGCTCGGCTTCTCTTAATTGAGGACTCTGGTTAAAATGGAAAATCCTGGACACAGCAATTGTTGAACAAGATATGCAGGAAATGGAACACAAACTGCTAGTGAAAGTGTAAAATGGTATATCAACTTTAGAAAACAACTTTTCGGGGGCTGGAGAAATGGCTCAGCTGTTAGGAGCACTGACTGCTCTTGCAGAGGACCCTGGTTCAATTCTCAGCACCCACGCGGCAGCAACAAAACATCCTTAACTCCAGTTCCAGGGGAATCCAAAGCCCTCTTCTGACCTCCACAGCATTGCACGACAGGGGTGCACTCACATACATGCAGGCAATACACTCATACACATAAAATATTTTTTTATTAAAAAGAAAACTTGCTCCTGCCCTCAAGCCTCTCTTGGGTACAACCCAGCTACTCAATCCATTCCCTGGGAAATCTTGGGGCTTCTTCTCACCCCATCTGCCTTTACATCCCTGCGTGGCACGGCCAAAGCCAGGATCTCAGGTCAGTCCAACACCCAAGTTCCTGAAGCCAAAATCATCCTTAGAAGATTCCAGACCTAAGGAGAAAGTCTGAAAACTTCTGACCCACATTGGAATTGGGCCACCGCGGAACTCCTGAAGACAAAATCAATCCG